AAATCTAATAATAAAGAATTAATTATTATAGAATTTAGAACAAAATCATGAATACCTTCGAATAATTGCTGATGTAGGGACATGGTGGAACTCAAGTTACCTTGCATGGAAACATTTAATAAAAATCAAAAATCTTATTGACATTCTGGTATCTACTATGTTAATTGATAATGATCCTTCAGTACAGAATAATGGAAAACAACTAAAAAATATAAATTTACAAAAAATGAATGGCAAGAAATGAATAAATTAATTAAGGTTTTAGAAGATTTTGTCGAAGCTACTGAATATTTAGGTGGGAGCAAATATACAACCATTAGTTTAATGTATAGTATATTAATGGTAATTAGTCAAAAAATTTTATCAGATGATGATTTAGATGATAATTCGGATAATGATTCCAATATCGAGATTATAGATTTAACTGGTTCAAATACCATTTTTGATGATGATGTCAGTTATAGAGATGCACCTGAAGATGAACCTATTACTGAACAATCTAAACGTAGAAAAATTAATATTAATATACCACAAGTCTACACCAATCTTGAAAATCGTGTTAAAATAGTACTATATCAAGCGATGAATCATTATTGGAAAGTTTCACAAGAACACAGGATATTAGTTGCTTTGTTGGATCCACGATTTAAAGAACTTGAATTTGCATCTGATTTATTGCACATTAAAACTCAAGAACAATTAAAAGATGCTTATTAAAATATAAACTTAACTAATAATGAAGATCAAGAAGCTGAATTACAACCAGTTTCATCAAATTTGTTATTGGCAAGAATGTTTCAAAATAATGTTATTCATGTTGATGAAGTGACTAGTTATTTAGCTTTGCTTAAAGTTCATCCTGATAATTGTCCTTTATTATGGTAGAAAAATAATAAGACTCAGTTTTCAATATTATCAAAATTAGCAAGAAAATATTTGGCTATTTCCACTACTTCCACCTCAAGTGAAAGACTTTTTAGTGAAGCTGGCAATGTAATGACCATAAAAAGAACACAAATGGTATCAAATACATTAGAGAATTTAGTTTTTTGTAAGAAGAATTGGTGCTTGGTTGGAGGGGTTTTTCCATTAAATTGAAAGTATATTAGAAAAAAATATTTTTTTTTTTGCATCACTAAAAGTATATAAAATAATTAATATAATATTAGTATAATAGTATAATTAATATAATAATAGTATAAATAATATAATAATAGTATAAAAATTAATAATTAATATAATAATGATATAAATAAATAAATAATATCATAAATCGTTTATTTTGCGTTGAAAAAATTTAAAAAAAAGAAAATTTAAAATTTATCCATTGTTATCTGCTTTTTTATGTAATTATCCGAATAAATCCATATTTGAATTATCTGTGAAACTGAATTTAGCTGTGCAGATTTATCTGCCTTCATCTGAATTTTTCACAGATAGCAATCCATATCCGTCACGGAGTCCGCAGATATCCATTCGCAGATAAAAAGATATCCAGATCAGACCACTACTGTTCAATGTAAATCAGCTGCTTGAATTGTCTCTCCAGAAATTTAATAGTGAATAATAGCCACTGGTTTCGAACATTTGGATGGGATTTAATTTAAAAAAAAAAATGGAATACTACTACAACTTATACTTGTCGTTTAACGAAATGTAAACAGTCCAACGAACGGAAGGAAGGAGTTCCAAGCAATAAATGCTAAAAAACAAAAATTCGTCCACCTAACTTGTGTTTTACAAAAATAAAAGTAACACGATTTCTCCAAGAAGGAAAAGTAAAAATTGAACATTTTCCAGACTCACCCAACCATATGCATTCCTTGGAGGAAAGTGACAAAGTTAAATGATCGCAAATTATTCGAAATTTGGTTGTTCAAGAAGCTATAAAAAATTATTGTTTACCGGCTATTCTTAATGCAGTAAAAGAATATGCATCAGAAAAAATAGATTTAGATACAAGTGTAAAAGAACTTCAGCTTAAGGAGGTTACAAATACATCAGAAAATTTTATAAGGTGAAAACTTACGAAAGTTTACGCAAGTTTCTGAAAGTGTCAAAAATTTCCACAAATTTTCATACGTTTTTTTTTCATTTTTTAACTTTGTTCGTGATTTTTGAAGTATAGAGCGATTTTCTACTAAGGTGTTCTAAGATTAAAGCTCCTCATAGGCCGAGCTGAGCCGAGCTTCATAAAGCTCAGGCCGAGCTGAGCCCAAAAGTCTTAGGCTCGGCTCAAGCCTGAGTTTATAAGTTAGGCTCGAGTC